GTAATATAGAAAAGTTTCACATGTAGCCAATTGTATACTCTCCTGTAGTGGTTCATTGAACCACAATACCGATAAGTAATTAATAAAAGTCAAAAGACCAAAGAAGTCATCTTAATATCAAAAATAAAAAAAAAATTAAAAAGCATCAACATAATATGCTTTACTTTAATGATAATAAAAAATTATTAATAATTAATAATATATATTCTAATAATATAATATGCAAAACTTTTATCAACTAATTATTTTGACAAATTTAATTAATTTGTTTAATGTATTTTTGCTTGAAACTTTATCTACTTTTAAATAAAAATAAAACAAAGCTCAAATATTCTTAAAATAGAATCAAAATATAAAATTATATATTAAAATAATTTAACAATATAAAATAAAAATAAAAATTTATTTAAAATGCCAACTCTTTAATTAATTTAACTTTATGCATACTTATTTTAAACTAAGTTCTTTTATCAAAAAATTTATCATGGCATATTATCTTCATAACATTTATATATTTGAAAATAATTATGAAAATTTATTTAATTTCATAAGTCATTCTATGAATTATAACAACTCTATGTTATATCATAACAACTTACAAACTTCTCGAAATATTATATACTAAAAATCATCAACAAAACTCCAAAAACTATATATAAAATTTCAAAACAATATTCTAAAATAATGACAAAAAATTACATATGTTTATTGTAGAAAATTGTTATATTTAGAAAAAGCTCTCTGGACATTTTAAGATCCAACTTTTACTTATTTTTTATAAAGAAATATATCTGATATTTCTTTATCATTTAACCCTAATACCAATTGTATTCCTTATTTTAGGGTACCTACTTGCAAATCATGCAAAAACCTCTTTATGAAATTTTTATTTCCTTATCTTTTACCTATGCCAAATAAAATTATTTCTGTTTCATTGCATCTTAGAATGTACTTATCTCCTATTTACTTATACTGTTTCTTAGAAAGGACTCCAAATAGTAATCCCTATTCAGAATATAGAAGTTTAATAAGTACAATAAATTACTCATAAAATATCAGGGCTTATGCATTATATTCTAGAATTCTAGGTACTTTTTTAGAACCAAATAACTATAATAATAATAATTTAAACCAAGATCTGATTACTAATCTGAATTTACAATATGCAGCTACTTGGTTAGTTCAAAACAATTCTTATTTTTATCTTTTTACTAATTATTTATTTACAAATATAAGATCCTAAAATCCTTTTCCAAGAGCAATACATGCACATTCTACTACTGATCTATCTCTGGTAAATCAATATGATATAGTAGTTCCTAACTATAATTTCTCTGATAAAGTTCATAATGAAGATTTTCATTATACTAGACTAATAGCAGGTTTTGTTCAAGAAAATGATAACTTATGTTTACCAATTTCTATATATGATCCCAACTTAGAACCTTTATTATTTTCTGACCTTTTTACTAATAAAAAAGGTCACTTTCATGATATCTTAAATTTATCTTTAGCAACAAATAAAGCACAAGTTAAAACATATAGCAAATATATTAAATTATGCTTAATAAATATAGACTCAAATAAAGACTATATTATCATTGGCCTTTATAATTGTATTTTCAATTAGAAAAACTAAGACACTACTAAATTACTTAACATATACTATGTCAAGCAAATTTGAGTTCTAATAATAATCACTACCTTTTATCTAAAAAAAACTATTACATCCTAGCTTCTATACTTCACAAAATATAATTAATAAAAATATACTGATTTCTATCTCTTTTTTTATATACACAGGAGATACTTACTTCTACTAGAGACAACTTTACTTAAATTCTATGTTACAAAAATTTGGCTTATCTACTCTTTTTATAACACTAAGTATGGCTGAAAGTTGATAGATTTATTTTCATGATATATTTAAAAATACTAACAATAGTAATACTTTACCTACAAACAGATACTTTTTATTGTGTGAACTACTTTGTACACAGGTTATTCTTTTATATATATATATATATATATATATATATATTTTCTTTCTTCTTTTAACATTCACAATATAAATCATAATCTCTACTTTCTTCATAGATTTCAATCTTTAAAAAAAGAGCTTTACAAGAAATCTGATCTTACATGATTCAGTGATATCACTAACTTTTTTAAAAGAATTAAGTTTCAAAATAAAGATGCTGCATATACATATAGCTATTATTGGATAATAAACAATATTCAAGCTATGATCTCAAATAGTATTATTTATTCTACAATGCCAGATCTATTATATGAACCAGAATTATATACTGTAGTTGTAGCAAATCAAATACATACCTGTAATTTAAGATGTTAAGGTCCAGTACCCCCAAGACAAACCTATAAAAAGGGATTTCTATGTTCTTTTTTTAATATAATATATTTCTAAAAAGAAAGCTTATATTATATTTACAAATGCTTAACTGAAACTAATTGTTGGATCATTTCTTATTATGCTCTAACTCTTCTAATTTGGGATGCATATATGAATACATAATATATAACTAACAGAGGGTTTCAAAATACATAGTTAAATATATTTCAAAAACTGAACTATCACATATTTTTAATATTTATGAAAATACAAATTAAGAGAACATATAATTGCATGAAAACTTGGATCAATAGAACTTATGTTTTTACTTCTAAACCATTAAATTTGTAATTTACTGATAACAGTAAAATTTTTGACAACAGAACCTCCTCTTACAAGACCTTACACAATATTTTAACCTATATAATAGAAGAAAATGATGAATATTCTTATTATGATGATACTATAGTAAAATATATGTTTTGGTTCAACTCTTCTGAATTTGATAATATTACATATTTTAACTACTTTGAAAAATATTTGATTATCTTCTTATCACTCAGTTCAACCTCTCATCCAATTTATTATAACAACTTATCTAACTATATTTTTTTTTTTTTTTTTTTATTTATATAATATCATAGTAGAAACTTTAAAATACAATAAGAAATTTAATTACAGAAA